CATGACCCTAACTAGCACATGAACTTAACTACCATCATGACCCTAACTAACTGCCACCATGACCCTAACTGACTACTGCTGTGGCCCTAACTAACTACTGCCATAACACTAACTACTGCCGTGACCTACCATGACCCTAACTAGCACATGAACTTAACTACCACCATGACCCTAACTAACTACTGCCATGACCCTAACTACCTGCCTCCATGACCCTAACTACCTGCCAAAGGCTTCGTCTCCAAATACCGTCACGCTGGGGGGTTAGGGCTTCCACACAGGGATTCTGGGGAGACACTCGGTCCATAACGTTTGGCCCGGGACCCCGGAAATGCACGCCCTGCTTGGTTATGCTGGCCCACAGCCAGGGAGGATCTTGGCCTCAGGAGGAGTGGGCCTCCAGGCTCCCCCACACCTGGTTCAGACGAGACTGCCGATGCCACACTGGGGGAGTTAAGGCTTCTGGGGCCGCTGGGATGCAATGAACATATTTCGCATGTGAGACGAACACAGGACAGACATCCCCACCCCAGAAGTGAGAACCAGGATGCCATCCTGGCTCACGCGTGTAATGCCCGCACTTTGGGAGGCTGGGGCAAGTGGGATCACCCGAGGTCAGAAATCCCCAATCCCAAAGTACTGGGATTACATGCCTGTGTATCATCATAAGTTCGAGACCAGCCTGGCCAACATGGCAAAAACCCCATCTCTAACAAAAATGTAAAAATTAGCTGGGCATGGTGGTGTGAGCCTGTAATCCCAGTTACTTGGGAGGCTGAGGCAGGAACATTGCTTGAACCCGGAAGGTGGAAGCCGCAGTGAGCCGAGATGGCGCCACTTCACTCCAGCCATCCTGGGCAGAAAAAAAAGAATCAAATGGAAATGCTAAAAGTAAAAAACAAAGTGATTGAAATTAATAATTTAAAGTGTAGATTTAAGAGTAGATTGGGTGAAATAAGAGATGTCAGTAGAAAAAAATCCAGATTGAAGCACACAGCAGGAAAAAACCAAGACAGAGGAAATCCCGAAAAAAGAGCACATTAGACTTGCAGGTGTGTGAGACGGTGTGAGGCGTGGGGGTCCGAGGGGACACAGAATGGGATGATATTTGAAAAGTCAAGGGCTGGCACTTGGGAGGCCCAGGCGGGTGTATCATCAGGAGTTTCAGACCAGCCTGGCCGACGTGGTGAAACCCTGTCTCTACTATAAATATAAAATGAATTAGCTGTTCATGGTGGCAAGCGCCTGTAATCCCAGCTGCTCGGGAGGCTGAGGCCGGAGAATCACCTGAATCCGGGAGGCAGAGGTTGCTGTGGGCCAAGATTGCGCCATTGCACTCCAACCTGGGCCACAAGAGCAAAGCTCTGTCTCAAAAAACAAGAAAAGTCAAGGGCTGATATTTTCCAAAAGAGACAAAAGGCATCATCTCCCTGACTTGAAAAGCTCTATAAACCCCAATTAGGAGAAGTTCTTGGTTTCCTCTGTCCTTCACAAGGCTGCTGTTGTGATGAAGGCGTTTTTAACAGGCGTCAGAGAAAACAGGGGCTGCCTTCCATGGCAGCAGTGAGGCTGGAAGGAATGACAGACACCCCAAGACAACGCGAAACCTGCGGGGGGAACCCCCTGCCTACCCAGAACTCTACCCCATGTGGAGAACGTCCTCCAGAAAGAAGGCCAAAGACATTTTCCAGACAAACAAAAAACAGACAGGTAGCTGCCAGCAAGCCTGCGCTGTACTTCAGGTGGGAGGAAGAGGGTCTCCATGTAAGCTCTGTCCTGCAGAAAAACTAGAGTGCATACAAGGGCAGCCTGGGGGTCAATTTGAAGGACTGCTGTTTAAGACAACACTTGGTTTGTGGGTCTGAAATACACGTAGAATTTACAGGCAAAGTAATTAACAGCACAAACAATACAGAAAGAAGAATTAGGCCAGGCGAGGTGGCTCATGCCTGTAATCCCAGCACTTTGGGAGGCCAAGGCGGACAGATCACTTGAAGCCAGGAGTTTGATACCAACCCGGCCAATACGGTGAAACCCTGCCTCTAAATACAAAAAATAGTGGGGCATGGTGATGGGCACCTGTAATCCCAGCTACTTGGGAGCTAAGGCAGGAGAATCACTTGAACACAAGAGGTGGAGGCTGCAGTGGGCCACGACAGCGCCACTGCACTCCAGCCTGGGCAACAAGAGCAAAACTCCAACTCAAAAAATAAAAATAAAAATAAAAAATAAAAAAAAATTAAACCATTGTAAAGTTTCAAAGGAAATGGTAAAAGTATTAATTTAAGCCGCGTTCCAAGGATGTGACTCATAATTTCTAAGGTAGACATTAAAATAACATGAAGAGAAGTATGACTTAACAAAGCCACAATAACAAAGGGAAGAAAGTGGAATAAAAACACTTGATTAAACCAAAGGAAGACAAGAGAGAAACAAAAGAGAGGACAAATAAGACCAACAGCAAGACGACAGAGCTACAACGCAGCACATCAGCCCGACGCCAAATGTAAACGGACTACATCATCTAAAACACAGCCACTTTCACACTAGATTAAAAATAACTTCTGCTTTTAAGAGCCGTTTCTAAAATACAGAGAGAAGAAAGTATAAGGATGAAAAAACAGCATATAAATACTTAAGTCCCCTTCCTCCCCCCTCAACCCCCCCATGTCATACAGATCAGATGTTAATGACAACAACACTTTTCACCTTAAAGAGCAACATGTCGTGAAGATAAAAGCATCAATCAAAAGGAAAATATGGCCGGGTACCATGACTCATGCCTGTGATCCCAGCACTTTGGGAGGCCGAGGCAGGCAGATCACCTAAGGTCAGGAGTTCAAGACCAGCCTGGCCAACACGGTGAAACCCTGTCTCTACTAAAAATGCAAAAATCAGTCGGCATGGTGGTGGGTGCCTGTGATCCCAGCTACTTGGGAGGCTAAGGCAGGAGAATCACTGGAACCCAGGAGGCAGAGGTTGCAATGAGCCAAGATCACTCCACCGCACTCCAGCCTGGGCAACAGAGTGAGACTCAACCTCTCTCATAAATACAGCTGGAAAACAACAAACAAAATAATAGCAAACAGAATCAAGCAAAATCTAAAAAGGCCAGACAAGGTGTGTTAAAGGAACGTCATCGGTCTACCGCGAAAAGGGAATCCACAGAATTTGCCGTATTAACAGAATAAAGGAGAAACGTTCTGTCACGTCAACAGATGCAGGAAAACGAGCATCTGAAAAAATTAAGCACCATTCATAACAACTTTCAACCAGGAATAAAACAGAACCTCTTTCATTTGCTGGTGGGGCGTCGCAAAGGAAAAAAAGCATTTCCGCAAACAGCACCCTTAATGGTGGAATTCTTAAAGCTTTTTCCTGAGATCAGGCCCAAGAGGATGCGGCTGTCACCACTTCTGTCCCACACTGTTTTGGAAGGATCAACAGTGCCAGGGTAACAAGGCAACAGCTGAAGGAAAGGTAAAAACAGACAGCCGCTCGCTGGTCAGATGGCAGCACACAGAGGGTTCCGGAGCAACCACGGAGAAGCCACGAGGACCAGCGCAGGCCACAACCAACCAGCGAATCACATTCTCTACACACTGCTATCCACAAAAAGATTGAAAAACGAACTGTAAAAGTAATACTGCTTAAAATAGCATAAACACTGAAATACCAGGGAATCATCTGAACAAAAATATTATTGAAAGAATTTAAAGCCAGGTGCGGTGGCTCACGCCTGTAATCACAGCACTTTGGGAGGCTGAGGCAAGGGGATCACTTGAGCCCAGGAGTTCAAAACCAGCCTGGGCAACATAGGGAGACCCAGTCTCTAAAAAAAAAAAAATACAATAGCTGGGCATGGTGGTGCACACCTATAGTCCCAGCTACTGGGGAGGCTGAGGTGGGGGGATTGCTTCAGCCCAGGAGGTCAAGGCTGCAGCGAACCATGATGGTGCCACTGCACTCCAGCCTGGACAAGAGACCCTGTCGCTGCCCACCCCCAAAAAAGAGCCCAAACAAAGGCCTAAAGATATGTTCATGGATTGGAAACCTCAGTACTGTAAAGATGCCAATTTCCCAGGCTGATGTTTAAGTGTCTTACTGGGCTTTTGAAAATAAAGAAGCCCATTGTAAACGGCATATTAATCAACAAGCCCATTTGTATGGAAATGTAAAAAGCCAAGAACAAAGATGATCTTGAAAAATAAAAACCCCACACCGAAGGCTCACAACACAAGTCACCAATGGTGATTATACAGCGGAAGAAATCCGAACGGCACAGCTCGTGGGGGAAACACGAAGGGGACAGGTGAGTCCAGCAAGAGGCCTCCACAGCCAGGACCCAAAAGCCCTAATTATAAAGTCAGCTTTCACTTTCCGTACGTCAGAAGACACCACCCACGGAGGGAGGGCGAGCTGTGGAGTGACGGAAGGTGTCTGCATCACAAGCAATCAAAGCATTTGTCTCTAAAACACACACAGCCCCCACAAACAAACAAACAAAGACGAGCGAGCGGCCAGTGACATTTGTCAACACCCCAATTGTGAAACGGGCAGAAGGGAACAGGCAGCTTTGTGAAGCAGGGTCCTCCATCCCCCGGGAACCTTGGAGAAGCAGCTCACCTCAGCCGTAAGGAGGCCACAGCGGGGAGCCTTTCAGGCCTGGTCCCTGTGCTGGAAGGGGTGGGTCCGGGAATTCCCACACGCCCCACTGTGCCATCAGCACAGATCCAGCCTTTGTCTCAGTTTCCCAGCGCGCGGCCCCCTGACCCTAGGAATCCTGGAGCGTGGTGAGAGCGTCTTTTTGCATGCTAATGAGACAACGGGGCGCCGGGAGCCCCCAGGCAGCTCCAGGACGGAAGGTCTTTAGCAAGACGCAGAATGCCTAGCAGGTCGGAACATTCTGTCCCTCAGCCCAGGGTGCAGAGAGGAGACAGGACAGAGGAGTCGTCACAGGGGCAGGTTGTTTGCTCAGTCGTGCCTGTGGCATGAAGCCTCCACAAAACCCCTACATGATCTGGTTTGGAGAGCGACTGCGTGGCTGAATACCGCGTGGCGCTGGAGGGTGGCGCACCCGGAGAGGCCCGGACGCTCCGAACCCCCAGACCTGAGCCCGGGCAGCCCCCCTGCTTGGCGGCTCCTAATAAATGGGTGCACTAAGCAAAGTGTTTCCCTGAGTTCCGTGAGCGATTCTAGACAACCCCTGAGCCTAAGGAAGGGGTGGTGGACACCCCGATTCACAGCAGGCTGGTCAGAAGCCAGAATGGCACCTGGTACTTACGGCTGGCTCCCGAGTGGGACGGTGTGGTGGGAGCGAGCCCGTCCTCTGCGGGGTCTGCACGAACGTCAGGCCATTCGTGTCAGGGCTGAATGGAGGTACCGGACACCCAGCGGCATCAGAGTGGCCGTGGGTGCAGAAAAACCCACATGACTGGGTCGGAGAAACAGCACAGAGTGTGGACTCACAGCCGCTCAAGAGAAACGTCTGTTTCCTGCAAACTCCACTCCTGGGTGTACAGAAATGAAGGCCCGCCATGGGCAACAGAAAGTGCTCGGATGTCTGTGGCAGCCAAAACCCAGGACCCTAGTGT